AACCCGTGCATTCTGGTCTCTCGCCAAGGCTGTCCAGGGGAATTTCTGTCAGCCATCTCTTCCATCTCTGCACATGGAGGACGACTCACTGGCCCATACCGCAAAGGAGAAAGCCGATCTTCTAGGCTCTTTCTTTGCGTCCAACTCGACTCTCGATGACGGGGGGAGTACGCCGCCGACCATCCCGCGGTGTGAGTGCTCCATGCCGGAAGTGCAGTTCACACAGCGCTCGGTTCGCAAAGCACTCCTCTCCCTGGATATCCACAAGTCGAGTGGGCCTGACGGAATCCCCCCAATTATGCTGAGGACGTGTGCTCCAGAGTTGGCACCGGTTTTAATGCGTCTTTTCCGGTACTCCTACTCCCTAGGCGTAGTCCCAAAATCATGGAAGACGGCTTTCGTCCACCCGATCCCTAAAAAAGGCGACTGCTCAGACCCGTCCAACTACCGGCCTATCGCCATCACCTCCTTGTTCTCCAAAACAATGGAGTCCATTGTAAACTGTCAGCTCATGAGGTACCTTGAAGATCACCAGCTGATTAGTGACCGCCAATACGGTTTTCGCCGTGGTCGGCCAGCTGGTGATCTTCTGGTCTACTAACTCATAGATGGGCGGAAGCAGTAGAGTCCAAGGGGGAGGCATTGGCCGTTAGTTTGGACAATGCGAAGGCCTTCGATCGGGTTAGGCACAAAGCACTTCTTTCGAAGCTCCCTTCCTATGGGCTTCCCGAGAAATTGTGCGATTGGATCACCAGCTATCCTGCAGATCGGAGCATCAAGGTCGTTGTAGACGGTGCAAGCTCAGATTACAAGCCTATTAATACTGGTGTACCACAAGGCTGCGTGCTATCGCCAACGCTGTTCCTTCTGCATAACAATGATATGTTGCAAACCCGTAACATTCATTGCTATGCAGATGACAGCACTGGTGATGTCTTTACACCGGCCGAGCCAATATTTCTCGGGAAAACGTCTCCGAGTGCCGGGACAAACTTGTGTCTGAAGTCGAGTCTTTGCTGAACAGAGTCTCGGATTGGGGGCGACTAAATCTAGTCCAGTTTAACCCCCAGAAGACACAAGTTTGTGCGTTAACCGCTAAAAAGTACCCCTTTGTCGTATCTCCTCAGTTTCAAGGCACTCCCCTTGTTGCTTCAGCTAGTATCGGAATCCTCGGCGTTAACATATCGAGTGACGTGCAGTTTCGTGGTCACTTGGAAGAGAAGGCCAAATTGGTCTCTAAAAAGTTTGGTGTGCTCAGCAGAGAGGGACAGTATTTCATGCCGGCGCACCGCCTGCGATTTTACAAGGTGCAGGTTCGGCCACACATGGAATACTGTTCCCATCTCTGGGCCGGGGCTCCCCAGAACCAGCTCCTTCCACTTGACCGCATCCAGCGCAGAGCCGCTCGAATCGTCGACGAGCGAGTGCTTTCCGATCGGCTCGATTCACTGGCACTACGAAGAGATGTTGCATCTCTTTGCATTTTATTTCGCATATACCATGGAGAGTGCTCTGAGGAATTGTTCGGATTAATCCCAGCCTCCAAATTTCATGAACGCACTACGCGGCAAACGTCTCGATACCATCCACACCATCTGGATGCTTGGCGGTCCACCACAGTACGTTTCAAAAGGAGTTTTCTTCCGCGTACAACCTCTCTGTGGGATAGTTTACCACCGGCAATTTTTCCGGACCGATACGACCTGGGGACCTTCAAGAAAAGAGCTTACTCCTTTCTAAAGGGCCGGCAACGCACCTGCAATTCCCCTGGTGTTGCGGTTGATCATGGGCGGCGGTAGTCACTTAACATCAGGTGAGCCGCATGCTCGTTTGCCCCCTCTTCTATAAAAAAATACAGTATTAAATCTTTATCGCCATCCCGTTATCAATGACTTTTGACAAAATTGAAAGAAATAATATTATTATGTGTAGTTGTGGAGTAAAGAATCAATCACTACGTTAATTGCATTGGTGCCTTTCGAACATGGCGGTATACCAAGTCATTTATACGAGATGAAAATTACCTATACCGAAAACGAAAGGCAGCGTCTAAGGTATGATCGCGACAAAATTCTGTATAAGTACTTGGCGGTCCAACATCGTGCGATTTTTCACAATATTTCTTTTTAGCATAGTTCAGAATTAATCAGACAAAACTACTTTTTTAAATAAGCCTTATCAGCCTCCTCTCTGCCTTATAATAAAATATCGTCTGAATTTTAGAGTCGTTTTGTATACATATAAATATCGAAGTGACAAACAGACAGACCCGAACATCATTTGTAGACTTATAATTTTAACATAACAGACATATAATTTTTGTCATCGTAGACATGTGTGTCGGGTTAAATAAATACCCAACAAAGTAATTTTGCAATTTTTTTTTATTCGTGTTATGAGCTTATTTTAAAACTAACTTTCTAGTCTTAATAAAGTAAATATCTTCGATTAATAAGAAGCATTTACTATAACGAAGAGTAAAGACTAAATCAAAGAAATTACATGCAAGATTTTTGTAATAAGTGGTAAGTTAATACATTTATTTCAGGTATATTTCTGTTCTGTGGCAAAACAATGAAATAGAAAGAATGCTTATTCTACAATTTTCGTTATTGAAAACAAATTCAGTCTTTTACAGTTGGTTGGGAGTTATGTTATCATACGCATTCATATTTACGTTATGATAGCTTTTTACGGTAGCCAGGCATTCCATCTTAGTCCTCAGGTGTGACAGCTCATCTGTCTCCACATACCACTAAGCGTACTGTGCGCATTTATCATTTATTCTAATTATTTTACAAAGAATAATAGAAGTAAATAATATACAATTACATCTTGAGCGTCACCATATTGTCACAACGATATTATATTTATGCTTTCCTTCAAAATTATGATATCATATACACGAAATTGCAATGAAAATCTTTAATCTTATTGAACAGAGTTGACACTAGCTTGAAAGTTACATAAATGATGAAATCTCAATTTCAATACATTAACATTACAACATTACTGAAAAGAAAATGGGTGAATATTTCCCTAGATGATATCCAATAAATACTAGTTTAACCGTGTAGTGGCTGGCGTTGAAAGAATATCTACTACCATAAAACTGTCCGTGAGTGTCGTAAGAGGCGACAGAGAAAATTTGCAAAAGAAGATTGGCAGCACCACATTCCTGATTACAACTCAAAATAATAAATTACTCCGTTTGGTAATCCGCCTGCCTAGAGCGGCAACTATTGCAAAATCCTAGTTCATCAATACATGCTTTCAATCAAAATTCCAAGAAACACGTTTAAACTTTCAAGTTCTAAATTAATATTTTGTAAATTAATGTAGTGAAGTTACCGTCAGGCATTTTAAGAAGCTGGATCAGCATTTTGCGTAGTCTTGCACCACGAGGCAAAGACTCAACTTCCTCGTATAGCTTCCTCCACGCTGCTCTCTTCGCTTTCCTAATTTCTTTTTTATATTCCGTTAGGGCTGTACTGTAAATATGCCACTCTTTAGATTTTTTGCCCCTTTGAATAGTTAACTGGCCTTCCCCCTTAGCTTTTTTTGGTTAGTGTGCCACAAAAGAACTTTTCGTGTTAAGGTCTTGGTTTTGACGGGACAACTGTCCTCGAAGGCTTCACAGATACCTAGGGTTACAGTCTCCGTCGCTACCTCTAAACCTTCAATAGTTTTGATACTTTTAGGTTAAACGTTCTAAATTTTTCCTTAGTACTGTACCTATAGACAACCCAGGAGGTCGCTTTTGGATCCCAGGAATACTACTATATTGCACTTACCTCCAAACGCTTTTCTCTTAGGTAGTGAAGAATCTTAGTGCCAAGTGTATAGCCAAGTGGGGCATTTAGCATGCATGACAAACACACATTGTCACTCACAACACTACTTGCGCGGGAGCCAGGAAATCAAAAGGTTGTGTTATGAATAAAAAAATGATGCATAAAATACGCATATAGAAGCAGACAAAGAGCCAGTACATAGCTTGTGAAGCATTCCGTCTTCATTCCATAAGGACTAACCTCCTGAATGGTAGGCCCTTAAAATGTATGCTGCACGCGTTGCCTGACGGTCTCTACTTAGGACTTTTTAAATACCTACAACAGATTTATTAAAATATGTCTCCATTTACGACACTTACTTATAAATATCGGTAGATTGCTTTTCTCGTGTAGAAACAACATTTTCACTTACGTTAAGCAGATTGTATCGTCGATATTTCTCTTTATAAGTGAGCACAAAGATCTTTATCCTATGTGTATTGCCTTTGCGAATGGTATTGTAGACGAAGGCATAAAAGCTTCTTAATGAGAAATTCAATTTGCTGCTTAATGCACTTTTCGCAAACTTTGCATGTACATTTGTTTTAAATTACTTACTAGTAAAATTTATACCAGCACCATAAAAGTTTTTTAAGCCTAAAGCTTTAAATATGCTTTTCCAAGAATGCAGCAGTTTGGACGCATTACTCGGAAAATTTACATATACTGATCTAAGCATATGATCATCACACTGAGCAGACGTGTGAGTAAGTGCAGAGCTCATAAATCAGTAGGGGAAGTTCGGGTAGCCCCAGACACTAAAATCAATTGCAAATAAAAATATTAATAAACAAAATTTCTGTCTTTATTTTACACTTAAAGTAAAGCTAGGAACTTCTTTAATCATAATAATTAAAATTATTAATCATATCATTTTTTTTAAGGAAATATATTGAAAATACTTTGGTCTCATTTTTTTGACGATACAAAAGACGGCGGGTAGCCCCGGACATAATAATCAATACTGGCCTAATCGTTTTTTGGCCTTACAAACATCACAATTATAATAAACATCCGAAGAATCTATGTAAACACAGTCTTCATGGGCCCAGTTTTTGCATTCCTGGCACTGAATCCAGTCCTCTTCAAATGTTTCTCCACATATGATGCATTCGGTCTCTTCCTCTCCATTTTCTTTGGAAAGACTTTGAATATTTTTAGTTGTTTTTACATCTTTTTAGTGCCTTTACTTTTTTGTTTTTTTTTCGCTTTTCTGTCTCTACTTTTCTGTCTTTCCTCTATATCTTTTTTGTAAGGTGATGATTTTATAATCTCACTCCTTTGAGTTTTTCGAGCCCGCTTTAACGACCGTTCTTTCGATGCGTCAGGAAATGGTGATAGCTGTTTCAATATATCTGTTGAGCTGGTTGAAGACTCCGGTTCATTTGCAGGTAATGCATGACTAGTGGAGGGCACTGGCGAAGAATGTGCTACTGAGAACTGATTGGCCATATTTTCTTTGGAAGAAACTTCTTGCATCACATCTGTCATCATTGATGGTAAAAAATCAATGTCAGTAAAGATTTCAGGGTTAAATGGATAAATTCCTGTGCACTTGAATCCGTTTTGTGCTATATCCAACCTTGCTGCTCTGCTAAAGGCTTCGTCCACAAGTGCAGCAATATCATAGTCAGTGATTCTAGCTGCAGGATTTCGCTTCATCCATGCTGAACTTGCAGTTGCAAATACAGACTTAAAAGGTTTAAAAAATGTCCTGTCCAACGGCTGTAATTTATGAGTTGTATGAGGTGGTGTGCTCAGCATATGAATGTGATGATTACGTGCATATTTTATAACTGCCAGCTCCTTATGACTAGCGTGGCCATCCAAAATTAAGAGGACAGGATTTGTTTCTGTTGGCTGAACATGTTGTTTAAAATGTTGCAACCATTGGAAGAACACCTCACCGTTCATCCATCCGCTCTCTTGAGGAGTAGCAATACTATCTGGTGGAGCTCCTATCATCAAGCGACCGTTCTTATCCATTTTATTCCGAGGAAAAATGAAAAGGGGTGGTAATTACAGTGGTAGAGCCACGCGGCAGCTTTGCTGTCGCACGTATGGGCCGGCTCAAACCGGGGTGGTACCACGACCTCACAGAATACCGGCGTGAAGTGGAAGCTCTGCTTCCGCGTTTCGTCTGGTGAGTGCAGGTGGCCGGAGGCCCAACCCCCCCCCCCCCATCAACATGGTAGCGGAATTAAATGATAGACTACCCCAGGAGGGTACCAGCACCCCTGGAGAATCCCTCGCTGAGCATCCACGACCATGTTTCTCCACTTCTGAGCGTGGGTGCTCAGGCTGCCCCGCGTATTCTGGGGGGGGCAATATTCCGCTCAAGACTAAAACTGCTCGGGGCAAACGGAGCAACAAGACCAAGGCGACCCCTGCCACGCTGTCCGTGAATTTCTGCAATATCAGGGGACTTCACTCTAACCTAAACGCCGTCCACTACCATCTCGAGACGGCGAGGCCGGCTCTGCTCTTTCTGACCGAGACGCAGGTGTCCTCTCCGGCTGATGTCTCGTATCTCTCCTACCCGGGGTACAAACTGGAACACTCCTTTGTGCCTCGGGCTGGAGTTTGCGTTTACGTCAGAGAGGACATCTGTTCTCGACGCCTCGGCAGACTTGAAGGTTCGGACCTGTCCATCCTTTGGCTACGCGTAGACAGCGACGACCATCCGCGCGTCTACGGGTGCCTCTATAGGTCCCATAGCGGTAATGCCGAAACAGACCGACTCTTCGACCACGTCCAAATGGCTGCAGATTCGTTGCTACAGCAGATCCCCTCCGCAGAGATCGTGATCCTCGGCGACTTCAACGCCCATCACGCCGAATGGCTCGGTTCACGTTTAACCGATCATGCGGGGAGATCTGTTCGTGATTTTGCCTTGGCATATGGTCTGACACAACTGGTTACTTCGCCTACGCGGATTCCAGATGTGGAGGATCATGCACCTTCCCTGTTGGACCTTCTGCTGACCTCTCACCCGGACGGATATCAGATTTCCGTCGACGCCCCTTTAGGCTCCTCGGATCATTGTCTTGTCCGGAGTGTGGTGCCACTCACGCTGAAATCGCGGTTGCATTCTGCAGGCTGCCGCCGTGTTTGGCACTATAGGTCAGCTGATTGGGATGGGATGCGGTCTTTCTTTGCATCCTACCCTTGGGGGCGGGTTTGCTTCTCGCCGGATGATCCCAACGTTGTTGCGGATTCTGTCGCTGATGTGGTACTTCAGGGTATGGAACTTTTTATTCCTTCCTCTGTGGTGCCCATTGGAGGCAAATCTCAGCCATGGTTTGGTCGCTCCTGTAAAATAGCATCATGCTATAAGCAGAAGTGCTACCAAGCCTGGGCTGACGCATCAGCGTCCAGGGATGTAAACACCAGCGCTCTAAAAAAGAAGTATAATTCTGCCTCTAGGTCCTTCAAAAGAGTCATTGCCAAGGCAAAGTCAGAGCACATAGGCAGAATTGGCGAGAGACTAGTTCGTCTTCCTTCTGGAACCCGTGCATTCTGGTCTCTCGCCAAGGCTGTCCAGGGGAATTTCTGTCAGCCATCTCTTCCATCTCTGCACAGGGAGGACGACTCACTGGCCCACACCGCAAAGGATAAAGCCGATCTTCTAGGCTCTTTCTTTGCGTCTAACTCGACTCTCGATGACGGGGGGAGTACGCCGCCGACCATCCCGCGGTGTGAGTGCTCCATGCCGGAAGTGCACTTCACTCAGCGCTCGGTTCGCAAAGCACTCCTCTCCCTGGACATCCATAAGTCGAGTGGGCCTGATGGAATCCCCCCAATTGTGCTGAGGACGTGTGCTCCAGAGTTGGCACCGGTTTTAACGCGTCTTTTCCGGTACTCCTACTCCCTAGGCGTAGTCCCAAAATCATGGAAGACGGCTTTCGTCCACCCGATCCCTAAAAAAGGCGACCGCTCAGACCCGTCCAACTACCGGCCTATCGCCATCACCTCCTTGTTCTCCAAAACAATGGAGTCCATTGTAAACTGCCAGCTCATGAGGTACCTTGAGGATCACCAGCTGATTAGTGACCGCCAATACGGTTTTCGCCGTGGTAGGTCAGCTGGTGATCTTCTGGTCTACCTAACTCACAGATGGGCGGAGGCAGTAGAGTCCAAGGGGGAGGCATTGGCCGTTAGTTTGGACATTGCGAAGGCCTTCGATCGGGTTTGGCACAAAGCGCTTCTTTCGAAGCTCCCTTCCTATGGGCTTCCCGAGAAATTGTGCGATTGGATCACCAGTTTTCTTGCAGATCGGAGCATCAAGGTCGTTGTAGACGGTGCAAGCTCCGATTGCAAGCTTATTAATGCTGGTGTTCCACAGGGCTGCGTGCTATCGCCAACGCTGTTTCTTCTGCATATCAATGATATGTTGCAAACCCGTAGCATTCATTGCTATGCAGATGACAGCACTGGTGATGCTCTTTACACCGGCCGAGCAAATATTTCTCGGGAAAACGTCTCTGAGTGCCGGGACAAACTTGTGTCTGAAGTCGAGTCTCTGCTGGACAGAGTCTCGGATTGGGGGGCGACTAAATCTAGTCCAGTTTAACCCCCAGAAGACACAAGTTTGCGCGTTAACCGCTAAAAAGAACCCCTTTGTCGTATCCCCTCAGTTTCAAGGCACTCCCCTTGTTGCCTCAGCCAGTATCGGAATCCTCGGCGTCGACATATCGAGTGACGTGCAGTTTCGTGGTCACTTGGAAGGGAAGGCCAAATTGGCCTCTAAAAAGCTTGGCGTGCTCAGCAGAGCGGGACAGTATTTCATGCCGGCACACCGCCTGCAACTTTACAAGGCGCAGGTTCGGCCGCTCATGGAATACTGTTCCCATCTCTGGGCTGGGGCTCCCCAGTACCAGCTCCTTCCACTTGACCGCATCCAGCGCAGAGCGGCTCGAATCGTCGACGACCGAGTGCTTTCCGATCGGCTCGATTCACTGGCGCTGCGAAGAGATGTTGCATCTCTTTGCGTATTTTATCGCATCTATCACGGGGAGTGCTCTGAGGAATTGTTCGGATTAATCCCAGCCGCCAAATTTCGTGAACGCACTACACGGCAAACGTCCCGATACCATCCACACCATCTGGATGCTTGGCGGTCCACCACTGTACGTTTCAAAAGGAGTTTTCTTCCGCGTACAACCTCTCTGTGGAATAATTTACCACCGGTGATTTTTCCGGACCGATACGACCTGGGGACCTTCAAGAAAAGAGCTTACTCCTTTCTAAAGGGCCGGCAACGCACCTGCAATTCCCCTGGTGTTGCGGTTGATCATGGGCGGCGGTAGTCACTTAACATCAGGTGAGCCACATGCTCGTTTGCCCCCTCTTCTATAAAAAAAAAAAAAAAAAAAAAATGAAATGACCAGTGACATTCATCGCAAAAGTTAATGTGATGTTTCGACCTCTTTCTGCAGATGTTAATTTACCAACCTGTTTTTTTCCCTTTTATCGAAATGACTTTATCATTCTTATGCACATTTGATACCCCTGTTTCATCGGCGTTGTAAATTCTAGAAGGAGGGAATTTATATTTCTCTTGAAGGTGATTAAGCTGGCCAAAGAAACGGCTAACTTGTGGTTTGTTAAACCCAACAGCCCGCGCAATGCTAGTCGATTCGGGAGTTCTTAAAACAATATTAGGATATTTTTTTTCTAAAACTGTAAAAAAGTCCTTTCCTGCGACTCCCTTCTCTTTATTAAATCTATGAGGGATTTTGAGGTTTTCTGCCAAATCAAACGCTAATTTTAAAAACTCCTTCCTACTTAATGACATAAGACGATTGTCCAGTTCTTTAACGTGCTCATATAGTTGCATAGAAAAGTTTTCAGAAAATGTGGTTTCAAATCGCCCCAACTTCGGGTAAAAAGCAACCTCTTTGCCACTTTTCAAAACTTTCAGGCGATCGTGAAGTGAGCTTCTTGGTACATCAAACCTGTCTTACGCTTGTCTTACAGATAACTTGCCTTCCATCACATTTTTAACAGCTTCTTTCATTTTATTTTCGTCCCATTTTCCTCTATCGCTAATTCTTCCCTTAAATTTCGGCATATTTTAGATCTTTCTGCAACAATAGTAAAAACATTTTAAAATACTTTCCATAAAAAAGCAAACTGACAAAACAATTGTAATTTGTTGACACAATATTGCGAAATTCAAAACTTAAACCACTGTCCGGAGGTACCCGACATTATCGTGTCCGGGGGTACCCGATCGTTATCATTTAACATTTTTAAACACAGCTCTTAAATAGTTAATAAATTGTTTAAAATCCTGTTACAAACTTCAAATGTATAAAATTGGCTACAACATAAATAATAGACAAGTTTACACACTTACGTATTGTACTTAGCAATCCTTCAATGAAGTTTGACAGGAGCGACGAAGTTTTTTTGGCGGGAACAAAACACACACTCACGGGTAACTAGCTTGGCGGCCACACCGCAACTGAGTTGGATTTGCTTTTACTCCAGAGGGCGCACATTTATAGTAAAGTTTTACCTACGCAACGTGTTTAGTTTCTTTGATATTTAAATGTTCGGCGTTACCCGCCGTCCGGGGCTACCCGACTTTCCCCTATACAGGATGATGGTCATTGCGTGATTTCTTTCTTGCCAGAGCGGATCGATGTGGTAATTTTAGGAAATTAATACATATTATTTTTGTTGCGCAGTTTAGTCAGTAATATTCAGTCTACAGGATAAACAGCCTTTTGCCAAAAACAAATTGAAGTGTAGTGGCGGCATGGGAGAATCCATCACCCTAATTTATGCCGTGAATGTCATAAGAAGTGACAAAAATACTTGGACCGGAGACGGGCAGGAGCGTCAAAGGTGCGAGTCAACTGTTGTCGTGTGAGGGTTGAGGCAAATCCTCATTACAACGAGAGAGGCTTGCGCCCAGCAGTGGACTTTTACGGGCTTATAAAGAGGAATGTAATATATAAATCTGTATATAAAGGAAT